CCGTGTCGGCGGTGGTGTGGCCAACTCGTGATCCTTGATCCGCATCGCAACTGGCTTTCTCCACGTGTGTCAGGGCCGGCTCCACAGCAGCACCGCGCTTCTGGACAGGGACGTGGTCCGCATTCCACACCACAAGGCGCTGATTCTTGCGCTGTGCCTCCAGCATGATGAGCCGGGTGTTGAGTGTGTGGCGTGGTTCGTTCCTCTGCAGCACGACGCGCGGCTCGAGGTGTGCCAGGTCGGCCAAGTCGACGATGGCGCGGCTGTTGAGGTCATCGACCATCTCGGCTATGCGCTGCTCGGTGGCTGGCTCACCGCCGAACATAGAGGCGTACTCTGTCAGGCGACGACCAGAGGGGCTGCTGTCCTGGCGCTGCTGCTTCTCCAGCAAGAAGACCGTCTTAGCCAGGGATCGGTAAACCCGGAAGCCCTCAAGTATGCAGCTCTGAGTCTGGGGGACGGCCCGGGGCCGGCGTGCTGCTGCTTCAGGTTGCTGCTGACCGCCTTGAGATCCAGCGGCGGCCTCATTAGGGTCGCCATCGTTGGCCTCCTCTCCGTGCAGAGATTGCGCGGTTGGGACAGAGGGTGAGAACTGGGGGTTGCATTCCACAGCAGCGGCGTATCGGTAGAGGGGCGGGCCACCTGGCTTCGGGTGCTGGAACTCGTCGCCAGTGTTGGCGCTGGGACGGCCGCTGAAGATGGTGGCGGCGGGGTGGTCGCCGGCGAGATGCGGTGGCGGTAACAGGTGACGGGTGCAGGACTGGTTGCACGCACCCAGGTGGTCCAGGCTGTTCATGCCAATCTCGTCAATGATGAGCGCACCATCGCCGACATTACGATGCACCTGTAGGCTGGCTGCGCTGCCTTTCCTGACGCTGTCCGCTCGGTTGCTGCCAGCAGATAGGGCGAACATGGCGTGGGTAGAGAGGCTGCGATGTACCGGCGTGCTGAAGGCAGTTGCAGCAGCCCATGAGTAGGCGCAGGTGGCCGCCCAGTGCGGGCAGCCATGCTGGAAGGTGTACCACAGGAGCGCTTGTACGAACTGGCTCTTTCCGGTACCGGGCTTGCCCTCCACAAGCATCTGCAGTGGGTCGCCAGGGTTGGGCTCATCATGGCGATCGAAGTACCGAGCCATGAGCATGAAGGGCACGGCCTGGTGGGGGGCAAGTGTGAACAGCTCGATGGTGTCGTCGATGCTGGGCGGCTGGGGGAGGTGCACATAGATGGGCATGCGAACCTGTTCAGTCCGCTCAGGAGTGCCAGGCATGCGCACGATGGCGACCAGGGGTCCGCTGGTGGGGCGGTGCAGCTCGACATGAGGGGTATCCATCTCAGGTGTGGCCGTCAGTCCCGCGTGGGCGCCCCCATCTGCCTCAACAGTGCCGGCTGCTGCTGCAACGAGATACCGCTTCAGACGCTTTGTTGCTTCAGTCAGGAGGGGCAGGTCCGCTGGTGTGATCCGACGGCTGAAACGATCGCTGCCTGCACCATGGCCGTCCGCTAAGGCCGGGGCTCGGCAGCGTCGTGCTGCATCATAGGCATACATGCCAGCAGCGTTGGTGCAGTCAAACAGGTCCGTAAGAGCGACGGCGGCGAGGTCGGTGCCAGCCGTCGGATACTCCTGACCTGGGATGTACACGAAGTGCTCCAGCTGGTCCTCGGCAGGCGGCTGTGTTTCAGGATCAGGCCTGAGATGCCCGCGGATGCCGTCATCGGCATCTCCATCCGAAGCGCTCGTGCTGTCACCTTCAGGCAGCGCGGCTGCTGCCGCTGCTGCACGCTGCTGGCGGCGCCGTTGGTTGTACTCCGCCTGACGGCGGGCTTTCCCAGCGTGGTTCTCTTCGATGTTGTCCAGCAGCACCGATACATACACCTGGTACGAGCGACCTGCCTCGGTAGTGCCCAGCTCTGCCCACCAGGCGTCGTAGGCTTCCTTTACAGTCAGCCCGGTGGGGATGGGCTGACCCCGGTGAGCCTTGAAAGTACCCAGGACAAACGCGTAGTACTGCGCCATGCCCGCAGCAGAGGTGCCAGGGCGGGGCCGGCGGGGAAGAGAGCCTCCAAGCTGTACGTAACGCGGCCGCGGCAGGCGGACGTGGACATGTGTTCTGTAGAGCGGATGCGTGCCGTGGAAGGCCACCAGGCGGGGCAGCTCCGTGGCTGTCTGAGACGTTGGCTGGTCGAGTGTCGCTGCAGCTGTAGGAGCAGGTGGCTCAGGGGGAGGGGCCGGGGCTGCAGTCAGCAGAGGCACAGGGGCAGGCACAGGGGCGGTTATGGGTGTGGCTGGGGTAGTGCGCTTACGGCGTCGAACTGCCACCGGGATCTGTAGGCCCAATCGCTCTCGGTGCGGGTGCTGAGCTGGCGGCACACGTCGGACCTCATAGTTGGAGGAGATGTTGTACACGCTGCAATCCAGGCCGCTGAGTTCTTCCCCGCGCAGCATGTAGCTCTGCACGGCGTTGGTCACTGTATAGCCCTCCTGCTCCTCAGCCTCCACCAGTACCGCCGCTGTGGTCGCCGCCTCAGGAGATTGCTCAGCGCCCGCAGATAGCGCTGTGAACGCGTCTACCTGCAGGTATGCGCACTCGAACGTCGCCTCGAAGGTGGAATGACCGTCCAGCTTCATGGCGACAAGCGCCATACCAGCCGTAATGGAAGCGGTCATGCGATGCACGGTGGCACACATGTTGCCAAACGCAGTGGGCCCACTGGCACCCGGATTCGGCATCCTTCCAGCTAGCAGAAAATCCTGCACTCGGGTAAGAGCGTTGCATGTCAGCTGCGCCTGGCTGTCGTTGATGCTCTTGCCAGTGTACTTCGTGCTGTAGTAGGCAGAGTCGCGGGCGCGGTCAGCAGCAGGCTGCAGTAGCGCACAGTCCCCCTGTTGCTCTTCAGGGCGGGCCAGTTGCGCTGCTGCCTCTGCCGTGTAGACGCGATCCACCTCGCACGCCAGAGTAAACAGCTGGTTGCACCCAAATGCCAGTGCTGCAGCTGGCACGTGCAGTACAATGTTCGGGCCCAATCGCGGCAGAAGGAAGAGGCCACCGGTGCCAATCCACTGAAAGGCGCTGCGCAGGACACGAGGGAACGCCATGCCACAGCTATCATCCGTGCCACGGCAGCCGTGTCGCTTGCACGTGTCGTTATGTGTATGAGTAAGCGTGCTGCAAACGACGGCCGCGTGGTGTGCACGGCAAGCAGCGTGCCGGGAAGGCGGCGGGAGTCCGCCACCTGCACAGCCGGCGAGCCTGCCAAAATCGTACGCTGCAGGCGGGCAGGACTTGTCCACGGGCGGAGGTGCACGGCCATGCTGCTGGGCCTCTTTGACGGTCATGTCCATGACGTAGTGTTCTGGACCGTGG